TCGACTTAAGAGATAAAAAAAGTAAGTGGATTTTAAAGTTCAAAGTAGATTTGAGCACATAACTCTTCAGTGCTCAAAACCCATTCGACTCTTACTCGAGCATTCTCTTCATTGTGTCATTATCCTTCCTTAGGCATCGAGTTAAACCAATAGGCCATCATTTCATAGTTGCCTCGATAATATGGAAGATTAGGTCATTATCTTACTATTGCTGACCTTATTTTGGCTCTATCCTATAACTCTCAGCCCTTTTAGAACTCATATTAAAAAACATGATTAGAAATACATACCAAAGTGGGTGTAAAAGAAAAAGTTGAGAGGCTAAAAAATTGTTGAGATTGAAAATTTAAGGTTGGATTAAAAGCAAAGAAAGCAAAAGGTAAAAGGCTAAAGCTCTACTAGCCTGTATATATGGATACACTACAGAACAGATGGACAACACAATTCATACCACATGTTAAAGCATGGACATGTAGACATATTTTCATCTTTCTGCTTCTCATTCAAATCACATATCTCCTCATTTAATGCTATTAGATCAACCTAACCGAATGAACCTTAGATAGGACTGGTTGAACCAAACAACCATTAAGGATAAGCGTAGAGCCCGATTTACTTCTAAGGTCCAAAATAAATGCTCAAGTCTGAATTTTTAAAAGAAAATACATGTCTCACCATGGATAAATAAGCTCTAACAATAACTTTGAATCACCCCAGACAATTATCACATCGGTAACTTTTAAATTTATCATGCACTTAATCCTGAACACATGCATAAGATCGGATAACTGCCAGGTCAGACCATTAGTCAAAGCTAATCATCGTCCAAAATCGACCTCCTTTTGCAACATCAACTTTCGATGAACCATATAGCTAACCTACCCCACACTAAGGACGTCGATAATAAATTTAATGATTTAATACTCAGATCGCTTGATGAAAGGGACAAAGTATTAGGGGCATATAATGGTTAAAAGGGTATAGTGGTTTTTTCCCCTTTCTAAGCTTTCAGCAGACAATCGGGAGCATCTTGGTCATTGGCGTCGACCTGACTTAACATGGTCAATGCCACCTCAGCTCGGCTCTATCCTAATTGTTTCTTTTTTGTCTCCTTTAGTTTACCTATAAATACGAAGACTCAAGCATCATGAAGCAGGTTCATCTTATTCATCTCTTCCCTTCTTCCTACTTCCCCACTTCTTTTTTTACCTGATCCTTATTAACTTACGCGTCAAGGTACAAACACAAGGAACACCCCTTGCCTTTGCCTCTAACCGTCTTTTTCTTTTGTATTTACAAGAATATCCTCAAGTCAAAGCTTAACACCAACAAATCCTTATATAATTATTTATGTAATTAGTTAATTATAGTATTATAAAAAAAAATTATAAATGATATGCATCCATTTTCTATGTGGTGATTGGGGAAGCATTTCAACTATAATTTTTTGCACTATTATATTACAAATGTTCAAACACAATCAAGAATTACGTGAGAATCAACCAATTATAAGAATGGATTCTACATAATATTTTGACAAACCCTACATAACTCTAAAATGTGATTTATTAAATGTAATATAATTATTATAGGTGATACACTCCGAATGATTGGGTATTTTGTTGAAAGCTAATTGGGTGGCTGATTTAAAAATTCGAGTGATATGTAAAAGAAAAAAATGATCAATGAGGTATAGAGATAGAACTTCATAACACACTTTAACACTCAAGTTAGTCACGTTGTTAAGTTCCAATAAAATACCTAATTACCTTGCCAAAAACAACATCAACATGTTTCAAAAGATGAGCAGCACTTATAATTCATCCGAATTAGGAATATTAGAAAAAAAAAAAACTTTTACTTTGTACATTCAAATTATTTTTTGACCAAGTACTAGTTAATTGGATAAAAATGAAATAGTTTGACAACAAATTTAATTTTAATATAATTAATATCATTAAAGTAAAATTAAATATAGTAGAGTAGGTTAAGTTAGTATCTATTCATTTTTTTAACTACATGTATAAATTATAATCACAATCAAATATTACATCTATAATTAATAAATAATCAAATAAATTAACTATCCAACAAATTCAAAATTAAATTAAATTAAATTCACATATAATAAAATTTAAATCTACGACCTCAATCCAACATTTTAATCATAACTTTTCTTAGTTACTTAAACAAAAATCAATTAAAATACATTTCCACTTTCTAGTAATCACTTATCAGCTGAGATATTGGCTGACATGTATAAAACATGCTTTAGTTGGAAAATCTCCTATTTTCTTTTAGACTTGAAAAATATTTTCAAATTTTTTGATATTTTTCGATTTGTGGGTTCATATCAAGTTTTAAATTTTTAGACTGATTTTTAAAATAATTTTGTAATTTCAATTTTTTTAAAAGGGAAAAAGAGAGATGCGGAGTTTGAGGGCCTAGGGGACTGGATTCAACTCCCAAATTTGGGCCGAAATGCCCCTCAAGGCATCAAATCAACGTTGCAAGATGACCAAAATTAACCATCCAATCTCATATCCAACAACGAACGAGCTAGCTACGAGTAGAGCTGTAAACGAGCCGAGCCGAGCCGAATAGTGAGAAGCTCGAGCTCGAGCTCGACTCACAATTCAAGGCTCAATAGTCGGCTCGAGCTCGATTCGTGATCGAATTCGAGCTACTCGAGCTCGCTCGATTAAGCTCGATTAATATGTAAAAATAAGCTCGATTCGTATACTCGACAAGAGTTCGATTATTCATGCTCGAACTCGAACTCGAACTCGGACTCGAAATATTTTATTAATTAAAATAATAAAAATATATTTAAATATAAAAGCTCGATTAGGCTCGTGAGCTACTCGAGTCAGATATAAAAATACTCGAATTCGGCTCGATCGATAAGTTGAGCTACTCGAGCTCGAGCTCGACTCGATAATAATCGAACAGAATTTGAGTTTTTTTCGAATCGAACCCGAATAGTTTGTGAGTACTAATATATCATTTACACCCCTAATTACGAGTATTAGAATTGTGAACGCTAGATTTGAAAGAAAGCAAGGAGCGGAGTACATTCGATTTATATATGGTATGGATATTAAAATTTATAAATTTATATTATATTTTATAATTTATATTGATAAGAAAATATAAAATATTTTTTTTATTTTATTAAATTTATATATAATTATTATTAAATTTTTAATTGATATCATTTTCATTGTTTTTTATTATTTTTGTATTATATTATTATATTATATTTTAAATCGTAGATTTAAAGAGATTTAAAGAAAAAGATAAAAGAAAGAAGAAAAATTCGATGGGGAAAAAATAGCCGGTGACACCAAAGACAATTCTCAATCCAAAAAAAAGAAAGTGCGATTAAAGACCCAATTGAATCTATAATTTGAGCTCTTCAAACACGTAGCAGATGAGGCAATTTACCAAAAAAAAAAAAAAATTCATACCATGAAACTTATATTTCTAACACCACAAAAACACGGGGGAAAAAAAAAAGATCAAACCAAGTTCCAAAATCATAGCAAAACTTCATTTCATTGCCATTAGCTTCACCCGCCAAAACACAACCTGTAAACCACCAGGCAGTCACTAAAAGCTACCCATTTCCCACTCACTTCCAGTCTTCCACCACCGATTCAAATTATCAATGTAAACAAGAAAAACCATCCTAACAAATCCTAAACACAACAACGATCACCCTCTCACAATCCAAGCTCGACCAGTTTCAACGACAGCCCAAAAAAACAAACCAAAACCTCAAACAAAAAAAATCAGTGAAATGGTAGCTTGACCTTGAGTATAAGGGCAAGGATTTTCGTTTGAAGGTTTAGGGACGTAGAGGGATGTGCAAAACCACCGTACGTGGCGGCGAAAGTGGTGACTTGCGACGGAGGCCTTTCGGGGCTTTAGGTGGAAGAGAAGAGGAAGGAGAGGGGTAAAACATAGTTGATTTTGTGGTGGTTTGGAGCGGGGGAGGAGACCAACGGCTTTAGGTTTAGATTTAGGTTTTTAAGGTTAATTTTGAAAAAATTAATTTTGATGCAAGTGTAGAAGAAAAGGGTGAGGTTTTTGGTAATTTTTTTTAAGAATGTTGTTAGTATGTTAGGAAATTTAGAAAAAGATTTAAATATTAAATATTTGCATTTATTTATGAAAAGAAATAGAAATGTAGAAGATAATAAAAATTAAAAATGAAAATGGATAAAAACTAAAAATTGGAAATTAAATGAAAAAGTTTAAATTTGAGTTATCTTCATAGAATAAAAATAAATATGACGTGGAGTTTATTCAAGAAAATAAATGAATTTTTTTAATAATTTTAGGTAAATATTTTTTTAATAATTCTATCGTAAAGATGTAACCAAATTTTTGTAGGGTGATATTAATATTTTCTCTTCATGTAACCAAATTTTTTATATTAATTTTGTAGAGTAGACAAGAGTTTATTCTTTTAATTTTAATCAAGTTTAACCTTTTTGTTTTTCAAAAAAGATAAATTTTATTAAGTAATCAATCATAATTAATTAAAAAATATTAGTGAAAAAATTTCTTTTCACATAAGGTGGTGGAGTTTTTGGAATCGCACCTTTGACAATGGAGCATTAATAATATTAGATTGAAATTTATATATAATAAAAATTTTATATTATTTGACATTAGCAAAGTTAAAATATAATTAAAATTACTAAAATTATTCTTTATGTCAAATTAATATTTTTGTTTATAAACTAAAAATTATTAAAATTATTTTTATCAAATGATACTTTACATTACTAAATATTTGAAAATTATTTTCATGTATATTTTAATGTAAGTTTATTTGATTCATTAATTGATTTCTTATATTGAATGTAAAATGTTATCTGATTATGACATAATTTTGACTAACTAGTAGTCTTACATACTTCATTATGCCTATAAAAATGATTGGAACAAACTCCTATATATATATATATATATATATATAGCCTTCCTTCCTATCGCTTTTGAAAATTGAACAATTTGATGAAAACTGAGAACAAAAAAGCAAAAAGCAGTGCCCATCCAACAATCACAGCAGCCACCACGCCTAGAAATTCATGCCTGAAACCAAAATAATTTTTCAAGAATTGCTTTGTAGTTTCTCCAGTTGCAAGAACATCCTTTCCATCTCCATACTGGGATACCACCAATCCATACAAGGTCCAAGCCGGTGGACAAATCCAATAGTTCCACCTCCACCATACAGGAATTTTCTGCAAATCAATTGATCAACATATAGGTGAAAAATGTAAGCAGAAAATGGTATGTTTAGATGATAAAGAAATTGGAAACAAGAACAATTAATGGATGCCAAGAGCTTAATTACCGTGTGTGGGACTAAGAATCCTGTAAAGAGATTCCAAATTGCATAAAATGCAGTAGAAATGACTCCAGCAATGTGGAAGTTTGGTGTTATAGCCACAGACATCATGCCGAAAAAGGTGAAGTACAGCAATGTGAAATACATGAAGAATATGTACCATAAGAATTTAGCAGCAGTCCATTCGAATGCCATTATTGAATAAACGATGGTGCCATAAGTCACTGCTTGCACAAAGATATATGGGAGCTCAACGACAACCTGGGGGAAAGAAATGCATGGTAAAATCTCTTTTAAGGCCAATGCCTGATCAAATGCAGTTGAAAACTGATGAATTTTTTTTGCAGTGCACAAAATGATTTACCTGTGCAAAAGCATAGGCCATAGGTGTATACATTCCAGCAGCTTTTTCCCTGTAAAAGACGGTTCGCTCAACGTTCACGACTGGCTGTATACTTGCAGCATTTTGGAACCCAAGAAAGAGAACAGCAACATACATAGAACCCATTGAATTAAAGAGGTCTTGATGCCTTGATCTGTGGTTTTAAAATGTAGCATTAGATTAAAGGCCGGAAAGAAATTTAAGGTTCTAACACTTATTCGCCTTTAGTTTTCTGTAGTTGTTTACCTCTTGGAGCCAATTTTCCAGAACATTGTTCCGATCATTAAGGCTATGACAGTCGTGAAGAAAAATCTTACTGCAGTGTATGATGTATTTCGCCAGTATGACCATCGTTGTTTCCATAAGCAAACCAAGAATTGGGAGAAAAATGACTGCGAGTACCGAGTGGGAAAATGAAGTTCCTTTGAAACAGGAGAAGGCACGTTCAGTTGTTCAATAAGTGCTTTATTTCTCCTAAAATATATCCAATGAAATGGTAAGAAGTTGCAGAAACAGGTTCAAGCTACTCTTTTATGTCTGAAATCGTATGTTGGTAGTTCAGATGCAAAAGTTTTGTCTTTACACTTACTTGTGCAGTTCTGAAGTTTTGTATAAATCAGCAAAATCAACCCCCAAAGCCATCTCCTGCGCAGGAGTGGAAAGTTCTAACATCCAAGTTGCTGGGTTATAGCCATCTTTTATTTTGCTGACTCCATCAATTCCCTTGGTGATCCAACAACAAATCGAGTATTTCATTAGAAAGTACTAACCATGAATTATGACTTAAAAGTTTTACATTCACTGGTGAATTTAATAAGGATCAACATTGAAGTTTACCTCAAAGTACTTTATTAAGTCACAGTAATTGTGACCCAGTGGCCCAACATATATCTCTTGTCCTCCTTGCTTCAATAATAATAGCTGCGATGCCATCCATATATATCAGTTACTCATGCTTGGTTCTATTTGGACAACGGCTTACTATATATGGCAGAGGGCAGACTCTTTTTGGTTCTTTAACATTTCTTACCTCATCAAAAGCTTCAAATATATCAATGCTTGGTTGATGGATGGTACATACAACTGTCCTTCCAGTGTCCACTGTGTTCCTAACTGTTCTCATAACAATTGCAGCAGCTCTTGCATCAAGCCCTGAAGTTGGCTCATCCATGAAAATGATTGAGGGATTGGCCACTAGCTCAACTGCAATGGTTAGCCTCTTGCGCTGCTCGATAGACAAACCACTTACACCTGGCAGGCCAACTAAAGCTTGCCTCAAGGGGGTTAGTTCAACGAGCTCCATGACTTCCTGCACGAACATCTGCAACCAATTGTGCAACCATTTGTTTGTTTAGTTGAACTATATGGAAAAGAGTGAATGGATTATGTAACTGGTCCTAGATCGTAATCTTTTGGACACTACCTTTCTGGTTTCAGTATTCACTTCAGGAGCTAACCGAAGCCAAGCAGAGTAGAGCAACGACTCATAGACCGTAAGATAAGGGGAATGGATGTCATTTTGCTCACAGTATCCAGACATACGAGCAAAAGTTTCTTGCTTTTTGGGAAACCCAGAAATTTTTATGCTTCCCTCAATGTATCCTCCAGTTTTCCTACCAGCTAGGACATCCATCAAAGTGGTTTTACCAGCTCCACTAACACCCATCAGGGCAGTGAGAATACCAGGCCTGAAAGCACCACTTACCCCCCTCAAAAGCACCAATCTATCTTCAGTCACACCCTGTGCTTTCATTTCCTGAAATTTCAGTTCCAACTGTTAATCAATTTTTTTTTTTTTTTTAACTTCAGAAACAAGCTTTCCAACTTCTAATCAATTCTATCATATATTTCAAGTTCACCTGTGGCATATCTACCGCATATGTAATCTCCTCAAAGGTAATGCAGTGTTGTTGAAATGGAAGAATCATGCCCTTTTTCCTGTCTCGTATTGTATCTGACTCAGCTTTTGACCTCAATAGTTCTGCTCAAATTATTTGTTGCATAACATATCAAAATGTGCTGATTTTAAGACATGTGCTTGCACATATAAACGCATGCTATATTCAATGTCATTATCTATGCATGTTTGATTACCAGTTCCCTGGGGCAGCAATTGAGCCTCTCCTTCACTTCTATCATCATCTTCATTGCTTTGAGCTTCTGACTTTACACACCGGGATTCATCCAAGGCTGCACAAATATTGTTAGAATATGAATATATATGACTTTAGTTTAGTGGCTTCGAGTAGACATGTAAACAAACTCACCGTTGAGATATGTGAGAGCGAGAGTATAACAGAAATTGAATACTAATATGAATCCCACCAATGCGCCTACTCCTATCCAATACCAGTACGCTTCTGTAAAGAACCCGCGAGACTTTAAAACCAAAACTCCCAGAGGTTCTGCTGTTGACGGGATAACCTATCAGAAAGGAATTATTTAGGCATTAGCTTTACTTAATAATCTACAAACAAATGATCAAATGGATAGAGGAAAAGGGTAGCCTGGTGCAAGAGGCCTCAGTGTTGCAGGTTCTGGGGAAAATCAAATGTAGACAGCCTTAACCCTGCCGTGCAGAGGTGCTGTCAGCACGACTTGACCCTTTGACCTCCAGCTCACAAGGAGAAACCTCAACCAATCCACCAGGGCACACCCTGAAATGTTCAATTGGCCAGCCAGTTCAAGAAAATACATGATTCCAGCTCTCTCCAAGGAATTCATTAATTACTATTGCATTCTGTGAGTACATCATAGGTGATATCCAATAACCCCAGATCCACCATTTCTTAACCTCATCTACAGGAAGAGACAAAGACAAGGCATCAATGCTAATGTTAAAACTTATCTGATTATATATAGACGAAATACACTTGTTATCATGTATGTAAAAGTAAAGTTGTTCACTTATTATACCTTGTGACAAGACATATCCACAGTTCGCAAAAAGAACAAGCAATGAAAATGATGAGAATGTGCTAGTAATAGTCAACTCCCTACCCAACGCTGCATTTAATCGAAATAATGCAGAAGCCATCTGGTTCGTCAGCACCAGCAAAAGAAACTGCTTTAAAAACCTGCAGCAAGTTACATTCTAGTGAGAATGAAGTAATATGAGAAACAAAATACAACTCTAGTTATGTCATTAGTATAATTCTTCTTTTCTTTAAGTTTTTTGGTTACCTGAAAATATCGGGATCCAGGCCCATGACATAATAGGTGATCGCTACCCAGATGCCAACCTCTATGAATGATATAGGAATCTTCAAAATCCATGTAGGAAGGGCATATGCCCATGCAGGATAGAATAAGTTGTCTCTTTGCTTGAAGAAGACTGGAAGCTTGAAAATAGTGAAGCCGAGCTCTACTAATCCATTAAACATGATCATAAATACAGAGAAGAACACAGCCCCCATCTGAATTACTCCATCAATTTCAGTCTTCTTATGCATCTCAGTCCTCAGAAAGACAGTTGATCCTATCACTGCCATCAGTACGATCTACTAGCAGAAATAGAAAACCTAGTCATAATAAAATGTGTTAAATTAAGACTCAAAAATGATACTGCCTTCCAGAGTCCTACCTGTACGAGCTTGAAGATGTATACAAATGAATTCCTCTTCATCAACAGAAGTTCTTTTGAGAAGCAAGCTTTGAAAAGCTCCATCTTCTTAAGACCATAATTCTCGGTGGTCAAAAGAGTAGGATCACTTCGAGTCTTATCAAATGGAGTTGCAAGATCAACTTGCAATCCTTTTCCCACATGGAATGATTGGAAGGCCTCCGCAAAGTTGTCCACTGTGACGAAACTGTAGGCTCTGTCAGTTTGCATCCAATACTGTCTTTGATCATTCCTTGATGTAACCTGCAATGCAGTATTATTATTAAGGTCAAATATATGACACTTTCCAGGTGTGGTCACCTCAAATAAGATATTCTTTACTTAAAACCATGGATGTAGACTCAAGATACAGGTGGCAATACAATATCAATATGGTGATTGGACGATTCTAAGAAAATTATAATCTAATACCTTTTTTTTGGCCATAGGATCTAATACCTTGAATACTACTATCAGTATTCAACAATGGTACTTGATAAACATAATAAATAGCTTATGAAGTTTTCAATGAAATATTTTATTGATGATTCCGAATGATGAATGACAAGTTTGACAGACAAAAGCTACGTGTACTCGTACTTCTTGCAAGAAGTCAGCTACACCCTTTCTTGGAGGACATTTGAAACCCATGGATTCAAAAAACTCAAGCACATGTTCACGGGGACCCTGGTAAACAATCTGGCCATCAGACAGGAGAATGATATCATCAAAGAGTTCATAAGTCTCTGGTGCTGGCTGAAGGAGAGAAATAAAGGCAGTTCCATTCAGAATGTGAATAAGTTGCCTCAGTGATTTGACAATTTGGTATGTCGTTGAACTGTCCAGACCAGTGGATATCTCATCCATGAGAAGTAGCTTTGCTGGTCCAGCTAGCATTTCACCTATAGCTCAATCAATAGAGAATTTCGACTTTACTATGCTGAATTAGCAATAGCCATTCTTCAATATTATGAGAAATTTTGACAATGTTTACCGGTTGTCACTCGCTTCCTTTGTCCTCCAGAAATGCCCCTAATCATTTCATCCCCCACCAAAGTATCTGCACAAATTTCTAGTCCCAAAACCTGAAAGCTCGAAACGAAGAAATTAGATATGAGGTCAGTGGGATTCCTTTTTCTCTTTCCTTCTCTAGGTTCTTAAGGTCCTTTGATGACGATAGAGTGATCAGTATCATTATACCTTTATAATGTACTCTGTGATCACACTTGTTTCTTGACCCTCTATGGATGCTGCCTGGAATATTAGAATACTGTTAGAACTAATAAAATAGAGTATAAGCCACCCAATTCAAGGCCTTGCTTTCAATCACACAACATTAGAGAGTTGTAGGAATCAAACTCAAACCAAGATCACCGAATTTTGAATTTATTTTTAAACCCAAATTTTGCCATCACCTGTTCATATAAGATCACATTCGCTAAAAAACCATATTTAGACTGCCTGTGCATGCAGTTCTATTGTAACATTACTTCCCTGCCAATAACTTCTTGTCTAAAACAACCCAAGCTAGATAGTACCAATCTTCATATTTCTGACATAAATTCCTTACCTTCATGAAGACATCGATATCAGGATCAGGTTTAATATTTGCAGCTTTTTCCCTCCTTGCCAATTCTGCTAGCATCTCTGCAATCACCGGCATATATATATTGATCATTTACATTTTGCAAGAAAAATTATTCACATATGCATGCATATATGTGCATATAGACATTCACTTTAAAATAAAAAATAAAAATAAAAACTCTGCTAAAAACAGTAACACCCATCCAAACAGTTAGTCTTGGTTTTAAGTTATGGCAGAAATCAAATGAGAAAAAACTTGGGCATGTTCTTAACCAACCGTAGCGTGGTCCGACCCCCTGGCATCTTGCAGAGAAGGCCAAGGTTTCTCTTACTGTCAGCTCTGGAATATGGAGATCATTTTGACCGATGTATGCAGCAGTTCTCTGTGCCACAAACTCATTCATATCATGGCCATTGTATGTCACCTTTCCTGAAAACTGTAAGAGATATTACAGTGCAGCCTCTTAGGTTAGTCAGTGTACTAAAATATGCAATTGCAAACAGAGTTTAGAATTTCAACCTTTAGATCACGGTCAAGCTTTCCTGCCAATGCTAACAAAAGAGTGGTTTTTCCAGAACTTGGAGGACCCAAAAGCAAAGTCATTCTGCATATTTATAAACACAATGAGACATCTAAATTCTGAGAAAATCCAAATTTAAACCAGTTAATGTTTGTACAAAAATTAAGAGCCTAATTCAAGAATATAATGGGACATATCTTCACAGTTCTCACCTGCTAGGCCTGATGATCCCACTTACATTGCGAAGAATAGACAAATGTTTCTTTCTACTAGAAAGCAAATGCAGGTGATGCAAGATGCTCTTCAAAACCAAAAGAAACAAAGTTAAAACTAACAAGAATAGCATCAAAGTGTGTGTTTTTTTTGTACAAATGAGACCAGAGTTTGAAGATAGAGAAAAAAATTACAAATATTGAGATTTAAACCTTATACCTGCTAGATGTTATCTTCAGTAACAGTACGAACCAACTAACTTTTTTTTTTTAAATAGAAAATGATAGTAACTCATGAATTTTGGTAGTTACCTCTAGTTTATTGATAAAGAAACTGAAAAATGAAGGCAAGGCCCTGCTTCCTATATATGCTTCTGCGTCAACTCTTAGATGCTCAAATCTGACTTCAAGAGTGGGAATTTCAATACCAACCCTGACAAATATTCAAGAAACAGGAAAACATGGTATGTCAATAACCTAAGAAAAAGCAAAGTAAATCAAAATTTAGTAAAGTTCTATGCTTCTACTCTGCACCAATGCCAAGAAAACAGCACAAGGAAGAATGTTCTTGCCTGTCAAGGCGCTGTCTGTGCTTTAACAAGAAACTTTCATTGTCTTCTTCAGTGTCTTTGATCAACCTTCCCATCAAATTCTTCCTTTCTTCATACCCAAGTTTAGATATATCAACTTCGCTTGTCTCGCCATTTGATGTGGTCAATAAACCTTTTCTAACACGAGCAAATGTTGGAAGTCTTTCAATGGCTGCCCATTTTAGTGCTTCTTCATCATCTTCTCGGAAAGATCTTGAGAAAACGTCGATACCAGTGTCCCTCCATATGGACGAACTGTTTGCTCTTAAACTATTACTTACTTGATAAAGATCACCTCCCTCCATTGCCAATGACCAACCTACCAACTATCGAAAACCACGTAAAGATTCAAAAACTCCAAATTTTGGAGCCCAAAGAAAACCAAACGGCTCTTTTCTATGTACGTTGATCACTTCCCTACAGTAGCCTTTTTCTAATAAAAGATACATAAGAAGTGTATTTTAGTAGAGTTAATTAAACTTTTAGTCTTTGAATTTTGTAAAAATGTACTTATAAAAATAAAATGTATAATTTGCATCATAAATTTTTAAATTATATATAATATTAATCTGAATTCTAATTATATTAATCATATCAACTCATATACGTAGCATTTAATAAATATTATCAAATTATCAACATTGTTTTAATATAAATTAAAAAATATTTTTACTTGACTTATAAAAATTATTTAGGATCAGTCAATTATTATTTATCATGTAACATTTGACATTTTTATTAAATATTTTATACTTTTATTTAACAAATAATATACATATAATAAAATTATACTAATTAGATATCATATAAATAAATTAAATTATCATTATTAAAATTTGGATTAAAATTATATATTATTTAAAAATTCAAGCACAAATTATACATTCTATTTATTTGAATACCAATTTATATATTTATCTAAATTTCAAGTACTAAAAATATAATTAACTCGTTACATTAATTTTCAAAACTTTGGTATAGAATTATTGTTTATTTATTATTATTATAAAAAGTTAGACTTCGAATTTAAGATCTCTACCAAAATTCTATCCTATATATCTCTATCATTTGATCTAAGTCAATTGATTCATTTTGACTTGATTGTAAGAAATTAATGAAAATTGATTAAGGGGATGGCATTTGTAAATGTGTTTCTTTTTTTTTTTTTTCATTTGGCCTACAAGGGTGATTAATGTGACAAGAAACTTAATTCAACTAATCGTCCTAGTTAATGTTCAAAATTCAACTTGAATTAAATAAAATTATTTTCCATAGTTAAAATACTAAATAAGCGACTTCAATTATCTTAAAATTATTTTTTTAAAAAAAAGCTCTTATCTTTTTATTATATTTAAATAAACTCTTATTATATTTATATAAGTTCTTATATATAAGATTAGAGGTCGTGAAGTTCATAACCAATTGAAATCTTTGCGCTCATAACAAAACGATATGCATTAACACTTACGTGTGTAAAAGATGCTAGTTGGCCATGAAGTTAAGATTCATAGGATTAGGGCTTAAGTGAGCATAATAAAAAAAATAAAAATTTATTTAGAAAAAAAGTGAGAAAGTTCAGGATTTATTTAATTTTTAACCAAATTTAAAAACACAATTAAAGTCTTTTCTTTTTTTTTTTAAGATATATCAATTAAAATGACAAGCCAAAAATTCTCCAACCGGACAAGATTAAAGATTTGCTACAAGAACTAGACAAATAATTAAGTCCGAAGTATTTATTAATATCACCTTATTAAAGGCAATGCAAAAGGGTGAAGGGAACCAACCTTGAAGTCCCGAACCTGAATCTCTTCCCCTCCCTACGGCCCCTAAAGACTGAAAATACCTAACTATTAATTTACTATAGAACACGTTTTCTTGATAAACTACAATATTCGTATAAATCAACTTATATTATGCTAGACTATTAAGTTTTTAATATTGTTTATTATAATTTTTTTTATTATTTTTATGGTTGAGTTAAAGCTTTAGATTTATTAAATATATATTTTACTAAAATGAAAATAATTAAATTTATATAACAATATAAAATTTAGAAGTTTCAATCCAACGTTCTATGGTACTTAACGTTATCATTATATAAGTGATCTATAAGATTTTTTGTTCTTAGAAATTCGAATCCTACAAATTTTATACTTCCTAATATCATCACAATTTAAATAGCTTCACTTGAAATTATAATATATATTTACGGACGTGATAACAAATATTAGTGGAGTAATTATTAATGGACATATATAAACATTTATGATTCAAATTCGCATATAAATTTATAGAAAAATAATATTAAATTAATGATGGTACGTAATTACTAATTAATTATAATTTTTTTCCTTTTTCTTGCAAGATGAAATAGGATTTATTCATGATAAGATCAGATTTCCTGTCACTTAAAACAAAAATAGTTTTTTCTTGGACCTGGCTATAGAAGAAATTAATTATTGTAATAAATTTAGATTTATGAGAGTCTGCGCATCATATACCTTTTTTTTTTCAATGGTTGTTCAGTAAGGATTTAATTGTTCTTTACCTTCCCATCCCAACCCCACCCTAAATTTAATAATTTTATATATATTAAGAGTTCTTCAGATTTTAAGTTACGAAATAAAAGCTAACTCTTTCGCACATCGATCATTCCATGAAATTTCTTGTTAGGGATAGGTAAGTACATTTGAAATCATAGATAAGATGCATGCATGTATTGCTTTTGTCTGATAGAAAATCAATACACAAGATATACATAGACAATAGAACAAAACTCAAAGATAAGAACATATAAAATGATTTACTTTAAATCCAATTCATTAACAAATAAATTTTTATAATTATAAGAATTTTAAAATGAAAAAAATTACAAAAATCTCATTACTCAAAATTTAACGCAAAATTCAAACTCAATTATATCATTTTAATAATTTATTCACTTAATTATTCTTTAATGTCTAAATATCTCGTATTATCAAATTAAAATTAAAATATTTTATTTATAAAGATGAAATCCTTATACTTTTGTTGAATTATCTATATAGGATACAAGACAAATTTTCAATTTTTATAACTTTACTCAATTTTTGATGTGGGAATAAAATATTCAAAGCAAATCTCAACATTACCATGATAAAGGCAGTACATGCAAATTTTTATTGGTATTCATGGACAGTCTTTAAATTGAAAAATAAAAAATTTTCCCTTGATACCTTTAAAAATGTTTTTTGAATTTTTTTTATTAATAAAATTAATAAATCTATCAATAATTTTATATACATTATAAGTAGACATTCAAAAAAATCTTCAATCTGTCGCTGCAAGCTTTAATAATAAATATTTAATCCCAATTTCGTGTACTTCTTGAGCTTCTAAGGTAAGTATCTTAAATCCGAAAATATCAAAATCCATAACTAAGAAATATTTAATCGAGCCAAATTTAATTTTCTTTTGATTACCGATAATCACAATCTTTTTAACTTCTCCTTCTCATATGCATTTTGTATCTCAATCGATGGATTAAAATTATTAGAAAAATGCATCTCAGCATTAAATAATTCGATGGTTGTGCATTCTTTCCAACCTGTTCTTTCGCATCGCATCATCCCAATATGTATAATAATAAATATATTTTATTATTATTTGTAGAATATATATTGGATTTCACTTCTTTGTAATTATTATTTGACTTTCGTACGATGTTTTCATATCTATAAAGTCCACACATCGTGGCCATCCCATTAATTCTGGCGCCTAACGTAGTGCTTGCCCGGCCTACCCCGTTTTGTTATAAAAGTTGTTTAAACCTTACAATTTTGTGTAGTTCTACTTCAATTTCAATTGTCAACTTGGTTAAAGACTTGTCGTACTGGGATTGTCTCAAGGCTACTAGATCAGCAAAAGGAATGATGAGAACAATATTGAAATTTTAAGTTAAAACAATTAATTATCTTTGTTCTTCTTTTTTTTTTTTTCATTTTTTTGGATATTTAGTAACATTCCATAAAAATCTCACCAAATTTTGGCAAAATTTAAACATTTGGGTCCTTTTACCAACCTTTTTTCCCTCTTATACAAGGTAGCATAGCCTATTTAAAAATGTATATAATCAACTCAAAATAATTTTAATTTGTGATTGATTGATTGTAAATTTGTAATGTAATAATTATTACAAGTAACATGTTGTCATATTCTTGAAGGTAATTGACAATTTGATCCTTGAATATGGTTTGAAATGGCTTAAAAGCTCAACCTGATAAACGATTTTAATTTGTTTTATTCAACCTTATAAAGCCACTTTTGTTCTTTTTAGTTAATAATTAACTTAGTTGACTCGAACTAAAAGGTGCGCAATCATATTCCAATTAAAGTTTCCTTTGTTGAAAAGTCCAAAGATAAAAGAATACGTAGAGGTTGGCACCATAGGCTGCGGAGAAAAGGTAAAAGCTTGTAATTGCTCCATCAGATTAGGAGTAGACATGCCTAGGGTTGGATTATTTGTTCAAATTTTAAAAATTTATTTAAAATTTGAGAAAATTTGAATAAAAGATTAAAATTTATTAAATGAATTTAGATATAATTTTAAGGTCTATTTAAATTTCAAACGAACTTTAGATAAAAAAAAAATTTTAAATTTGAGTCTGATTCAACTTGATCAAATTCATATATATATATATATATATATATATATATATATATATATTATTTATATTATTTATTTATATATATTAATTATATATAAATTAATTCACATATATATATAAATTAAAAATAAAAATTATATATTTTGTTAAACTTAATTTTTATTTTTAATTTTTATATATATGTGAATTAAATATAATTTCATTAAACGTAATTTAATTATATTTTTAAATTTTTTATTATATAAATTAATTTAATGGGTGAATTTTAGATTTATTTTTTTTATTTTGATCAAGTTTGAGAAAATTTTAAAATTTTAAATTTTAAGTCAAATCAAATCTAAACAAACATATAAATTATTAATACTAAAAATGATATCAATCTAAATTCAATTCAATTCAACCTATGAACATCTTTAATCAATTATCCACATTTCAACACTGTATTTAATTAGTTTGGTTTTTCATCTCCCATTCACCAAAATCATTTGATTTTGTAAAGCATTACAATTTCAAAGTCATGTTGTATTCAAAATTTCTTTGACCCTTGATACTAAAATTAAACGAGTTCATAGTATGCATAGAGAAAATTGGAGATAATCATCCCTCATTTCATAAATTTAAGTACCCATTGTTCACAAAAACTGAACATGAGAATGAAATATCCAGTTCTAACCATTATGTTAAAATAATTAATCCCCTTTAAGGGATCATCAATTCATTTAGATTTTTTTTTTTTTTGGGTAC